CTGAAGGGACACTACACCCTAGACTTATAGGGAATAAGCATGTTATGTTTGATGCTCAAACATGTGCATAGCCATAGTCAACGCAGATATCTTTTTTGAATAACTGGAATGCTTCCACGCCATGCGTGCATACCACGCGACACACACGTTGTTCTCGACGCGACATCTGGCGGTCATATATCATAACATCTCCCCTCTTTAATAAAAATAAACATTTCCTGCGTGAGTGCTTTATAGGTATGCACTAGAAGTGTATATGTAACTCAAAATCAGACAACAAAGCCAAGCGAATACTCACGTATGTACTCACTGCCTGCTTGATCTTTGCCCTTACCTTGTAGCTGCGCTGAGGTGACCATGACAGCGGAGCGGCGGTTGGCGAGTGACATACGCGCTTGACGTGCTTGTGTGGCACATTGCGCTTGGGCGGAGGGGTAGTGTAGCATCTTCTGAGGCGTGTTCAACAGCGCGAACGCTCGAAGCACTAACGCAGCACCACTTGAACGACACCGAGCTATGCACCGAGCACTCGCTTCATCCAAGATGGCGGCTTCCACAGCAGATTTCATCGCGAGATTTTAATGTCTTCAAACAAATACTGGTAAACGAATTAGCAGGCGAAATTGATATGAATTGAATTCAGAAGTGAATGAATGATTGAAAATGAAATGAAGTGGAAACAGAGTGAAATTTAAGTCAGAAGTGTTAGATTCGCATTTACCAGATTGCCCGTCGCCATCTTGAAAACAACTCGCACGATGCGCGAACTGTCTCGGGAGCCTGTTCGCACGCACTCGCGAGCGCTCGACCGTGCGGTGTCGTTCAGAAGGCAAGCGCACGCAAGGCGAGCGTTCGCGCTGTTGAACACGCATCTGGTGATCGTTATGGTGAATAGATAAGCAGATCATTGTAGCAGGCTTTCCAGCGGCCATAAAATTCCTAAAAATTCCTAAAATTTTGAGCTCGTCCTAAAATTCCAAAAAAAATCTTTAAAAATGTATGAAATTCCTAAAAAAAAGGCTAAAATTTTATTCAAATTCCTAAAAGAAAAATTCCACAGATATGTTTGAAGTTTTTGGTGATGAGATGATGAACTTTTGGTTTGTAATTATGTCTAATCATGATGTTTTCTAGTTATCTTTATACAGAGTGAGTATTGTGACTCTACCAGTGATTTGCGGTTAGTGAATTATGAATTATTCGGTGTGAATTATTCGCGTGTTGTTATCTTCGCGTCGGGGACGCGTTCGCGAAATTCGCGAAAATTAAACCACCGCGAAATATACAGCTTATACAGTAGGCCAGAACAAAGGCAATCTTAATACATCGTTCTCACTGACGTCACGCATATCTAAAAACAAGAGTCAATCGGCCATTTCGGATTACACACAAACTCAATAACAACATGATGGCGGAATGTTCTACAAGATCTTCGTATTTTCAAACACTTATAGATAGCAAAACAAAAGATAGATATTTACAAAAATTGGTTTCCATAAATAGTATTGATCCATACACAATCAGCAAAGCGGATTTAAGTGCTGAGCCAAGCTTTCTTCCTTGTATTACATATCCGGACATTGTAAATTACCTTGTTTACTCGCCAAGCCCATACTCACTGGAAGATCTCCGATGTTTTAAAGGACTGGAGGCTTATAATCAGTTCGTGAATGGATGGGTACGGGATGTATGTGCTACGGTTTTGAACGGCCTTTGTGTAGTTATTGGACGGGTAAGATTAGTCTATTTTTCTTTG